TTCCTGCTTGTACCTGATGAAGGGAGCACTGACTCTCGGAAGCTCACCCCGCCCCACCACCCCCAGTCTTGTTGGTCTTTATTTTGTTTATCAAATTTATAACCCGCCCTGCCCACCAGGGCAGTCTCGGGGCGGCTTACAAAAAAATTAAAACACATAAATAGCCATTAAAACAATCACAAAACCATCTCAAACAGTCCAGGTGGTGTAAAGTGCTAGTACAATTATCCTGGCAAAATTAAGGCTGACGCTATTTGTCAACGACGGCAGCAACTGATGTCCTATTCTATCGATTCACACCTCGTTCTGTTTCTCCTCATGTGGTCGGCTCCAGCTGTTAATGATCGTTCCGGAGGGCGGAGCTCACAATTAATTACTGGGAGGGGGGGACGGCTCCTAGTTGAAGGCCTGGCGGAAGAGCTCCGTCTTGCAGGCCCTTGTGGAACTGCATATGGTCCCGCAGGGCCCTGATTTCTTTTGGGAGCTCTTAAGAGACCAACGAGAGCTCAGGGGCAGCAGCTTTCAAGAGTTCTCGATACAACAGCTTTGGTTGGAAAGCCTGTGCCCCCCAAAATCTTGTTAGTCTTTTAAAATGCTGCTGGACTGGAATTCGGCTCTTCTACAGCAGACCAGCACGGCTGCCCCCTGAAACGCAAAAGACCGCTTCCGTAGTAGCGAACTCTCCCCGCACTGACGTTTTTAGAACTGCGCATTACGTGAAACGCCGCAGTCCGGTTTTTTCTTCGCCAGGCGCGGACTAGAAGTTCCCCCCTTTTTACGCCGCGCTTTCAGAACCCCCCGTTTTAGCGAGTCCCGAAAACGCGGGGTAAGGAGGAGAAAACGTTGGGGTCTGTGCTGGCGAGGAAACATCTACAGTGAAAATTTTTCATGTAACGCGGTTTAAAAAATGCAACGTGGGAAACTTCACTGCTGCAGAAATGGGTTGCAGCCGCTGGTTCTTTCAAAGTGTCAAATGAGGTAGCAAAACCTGCACCCGGGCTGTACCACTTCAGACCACAGGTGGGAACTTCCCTCCGTGGAAATAAAAATGATCACTATGACTGAGATGTATCATTCAACTTTAAGAGCCATACCTTATTTTTTAACGCAGCACCAAGGATTGTTAAGAATGTTTTGAACTTTTTCGGGGCTAACCTCTGATATCTTCTCGGATTTCTTTTGCATTCTGTGTATTTCAGATTGTATGTATGTATCCAGTTTTCATTTATAATGAATATACTTTCCAAACGCGACTACACATTCATCTTTCTTTTTTTAACAGCTTTCCAGTTAGAAACCTAGTACGTTTTGTAGCCGTAACAAGAGCTGGTTCAGTTCTGACTGTGAAAAGGCCAAAAACTGAGTTAAACACAGTTACAGGCTCTACAGACAGAAAAATTCAGAAGTTGCAAGATATCTGTTTCTGCTTTCTAGAAAAGAGTGAAAGAAGTGGAATATAAAAATCATACCTCAGGAGTCACCCACAAGCCAACTGCCCCAGTCACTCTATCCAAGTTTGCTCCACGTCAATATTGGTGCAGAAACGGGTCATTTCCTGCGGGAGCGCACAGGAGCAGAGCTCCGGCAGTAAGGAGGCCAGAGAGCAGGCACATGCAACAAGCCCTGCACCTTGCTCCCAGCAGCCCTCAGTTGGACCACAAAGCCCCCTCCCAGCCCGCCTTCAGGTATAAGCTCTCCCTCCTCTGTGAGGGCAGATCTGCACGTTCCCCCCCGCCAATAGATAGCAATCCAAAACAGTCCAGTGGAGCCTGAGTGGGTGGTTGTTGCCTTCTGACACACTTCCGGTGATGTCAGGGGGTGTGGCATATGCAAATAAGTTATGCTAATGAGCTCCTGCACCTCATTTTCTACGAAATGACCCCTGCGTAGAAAAGAGCAAGAGTCCAGCAGCACTTTAAAGACTAACAAAATTTGTGGCAGGGGAGGAGCTTTCGTGAGTCACGGCTCACTTCTTCGGGTAAGGAATCTGAAGAAGTGAGCTGTGACTCACGAAAACTCCTCCCCTGCCACCAATCTTGTTGGTCTTTCAAGTGCCGGACTCTTGCTCTTTGGTATCTGAAGAAGCGAGCGGTGACCCATGAAAGCTCCTCCCCTGCCGCCAATTTCGTTAGTCTTTCAGGTGCTAACTGGACTCCTGCCCTTTTCTACTGCTTCGGACAAACGCGGTTACCCATCCTGGTGTAATATTGGCATGCCTTTCCCTGCTTGTACAGGACAGGGAACTGTAAGAGTTGCCAGAAAAAAAATTAGCTGGTTGCAGCAAAAGGTAAAGCGATTTATTTTTAAAAAATTCTTGGGGAGGGGCAGCAGTCACACAATCGGCACATTCCCAGAGGCCTGTCGATCCACATACGTGCAGCAACTATAGCCGTTAACGCTGACAGTCTGTACCCACAGCCTATGCATGGTGGTGGTGGAAGAGCAGAATTGTGCTTGCAGTCACGCTTTGGCCACAGGAATCCACATGTTGCAG